CAATAAAAGTTAATGACTTTGTGCTAGTCAAGCTTTATTAATCTATTACAAATTAGTATTTTAATTAATATATATCAATATTTATTCTTCCATATGGCTTGCATTGAAATTAATTTAGTTTTGGCTGTATACATGCCTTTCAGAGTTAAAGCAAAAGAACTTAAGTTATAAAGATCGCTTACACTAGCCTCATAGATTTTCCACACGAGTCCCATGTAGTGGTGCTAGTGTGGCCAAAACAACCGTGTTTCAAAAAAGAAATATGGAAAAACACACATAACAACTTTTCTAGTCTAAATCTAATCAAGAAAGTAGTGAAACATCTGAATTACTGTTAAAGAAATACTTAGTGAGTTAAAAATTATAATCAATTAGATTTTTTCGAAATTTGTTTATAAAAATAAATATCTTTCCTATTTAATACAGGATTAGGCTAGACGAAATAATAATTTTTTTCCAGAAACAATTTTTACGACGTGTAGGCGAATATCTAGGCAACACTTATTAGGCGAAACTTCATCTCGTTAAGCGATTTCTTCTTTTAATAAGAAAGTTCCGTTTAGAAATTAGAAAAGATAACAAAAAGAAATTGCACTATTTAGACATCGACGTTTTGTTTTATTCAATTCGTATTTCTGAATATTTCTAAACTGAAAACAGCTGATTGTTTTATATTTACATACTACTAAATGTTCTTCGTATATGTTACTGAATATTTATTTATCTAAATATATATACAGCAAAATATAGCAAATAAATAATAATTTTTTTGGAACTAAGCACATTTGATAAAATTTAAATAATATCTGTTTTAGAATATAATATTTCAATATTTTCTTCATAAAGAAACTGCTGTTGTAAATAATTTTAGAAATTATTCACGTTTAGTAGAAGGGACAATTTTTGCTTCGTGATTTCGCATTTAGATTTAAAATAAAGCAAATTTTGTATAAATCTAGCGTGGGTAATAAATATTTTAAATTCTGAAATATGCCTTAATGTATGCATGAGTATAATACTTAGTATTTTATATTTTATAAGTCGTAAGAATCTCTGATTCTTTTTTGAAATATTCATATTAAATTTTGAATCTTTGATTGACATGGAATATTTATAGATAATTGACTTTATTGAGGAATTTAGATGCTGCCTCTCATACTTTATTCCTATTTCTGGATGTAAATATTGCTTTTTCACAATGAGAATTTTTTTTAAAATTTAGAATTGTGTGCATTGTATAAACACTTGAATTATAGAAAACATTTTGGAATAGATATGCAGATTTTAATACATTTAGAGCAAAAAATTATATTTTGTATACATACATTTCACGTATGTTACAATCAGCCATTATGATTTGTCATAATGATTAATACTTTTTTGAATACAAATAAAATTATTTTCGTTGCATTACATTTTATCAAAAGTTATAAGCACAGATTCATACATCTTCATTTAATGATATTGATTGAAATAGTTTTTAATTGTTATATTCTATAATAATGTTGAGTTCTTTTTAATTGTTAATGCATTTCAATACTCTAAAAAATTCCACAGCTTGATTACGATTAAAAAGTGTTCCAGTCATTGACTGCTGAACCTAAAATTATACTCTAAAGCTCTCATGAACTTAAAAATACAAATCTGCCAAGGCTGTAAAATTTCTGCTGTTGTCTTTTAACAAATTTTAAACTACCAGTATATTTAAGACAGATTTAAATTTTAAACTACCAGTATAACAAATTTAAAACTACCAGTATAAAAAATTTTAAACTACCAGTATGAGGATTTTGATATTTTTTATTTTTATTTTTTCGATTATGACTTTGGTACTAGCGTACATCTTCCCATAAAGATATCTTACTTAAATCTTACCGTAAAGATTTTTTTCAGGGAAGGTATTTTTACTTATTTTGGAATTATATTATTGGTACATAGGTAGGGGGCTTTCATTGTTGTAGGGATCTTTGTTTCATTTAACTGAAAAACGGTACTAATTTGCTTTCGGTTATTTCAGTTATTGACAGGCCAGAATAGCCTAGTTTGCTGGTCATTAGGATCATGGCAAAGAGGCCGTAAGTTCGATTTCTGTCAGCCCGAGAAGTCTCCATGTAGTAAATGGTAACTTGTGCACGTTAAGCCTGTCAGGTCACAAAGTCATCCATGTTCCCGTAACAAATCAAACCCCAGGAGGTACTAAATTGGAGAAGGAGCGTTCTCCGGTTCTCGTCAGAACTGCGATCTGGGGATGAATGAATGAGTACGCTCTTTAAACATGCTGTGACGCGTGTGTGGCTGAAGTCTTATTCTTGGCCATAGATGGCGCCACTGATAAATACAAAAACGCACCCTCTGCATTAAATTTGCTTATTTTCACCAAGTAGGCTTGCTGGTATTGGGAAGTGGAATTAAAAACAATAACAACACAGTAATAGGCATCGGTTTTCTTCTTCAAAGAAGTGAATCTCGCGTATAAATACCACAGAGATATCTGTCTACCTTAATATACATACCATGATACATATACCATAATACACTTTAAAATATCTATCAGCCACTTCTCACAAGAATGACCTTTTATAGAAAAAAATAATAATTACCGGTGCTACTGCTCAAATTGATTTAGAAATAGAATTGAAATTGTTGCCAAGAGATAAAAATGAATTTTAATTTTTGATGTGAAAATATAAAGTATGATAAATTAAAGTTATAGCCCTATAAATGGGCTGTGACGTGTGTTTGGCTGAAGTCGTACATAAATCTCGGACATAGATGGCTCCTCTGAAAATCAAAAAACGAACCCTCTGCCTTAAATTTGTTTGGTTTCACCAGGTAGGCTTCCTGGTATTGGCAAGTGGTATTAAAAGTAATAACTACAACATAGTTATTAGCACTGGTTTTCTTCTTCAAAGAAGGGAGTCAGGAGTATAAATACCATAGAAATATCTATCTACAACTACAAAATATCTATCTACCACTCTTCACAGCAATGGATTCATATATATAAATTATTAATCATCAGTGCTACTCCTCAAATTGAGTTAGAAACGGAATTTAAATGGTTGGGGGAAAATAAAAATTTATTTTAATATTTTATGTGAAAAACTAAAAGCTAATGATTTTGCCCAATGTAGCTTAAAAATAGTAGGGAACTTTAATAGCATTAGAGTTAGTGAAGAAAGATGTTTTAAATGCGTCAAAATTTGTATTTAGTAAATTTAGTTCGAAACAAATTATTTAAGATTTGTGTAGAATAATTTGAAATATATTTCAATAAGTAATGTACTTTTCCCGTCTAATTGTATGAAAATTTTCTTTTTTTAAATAGTTAATAGCGATCCTAGGGGAAATTTTCGTAACGTGAAAAATAAATGAAGAATAATAAAATTTGGCATAAAATGTAACATAATTTGCATTGGAAATATAAAATAACTTTAAAACAAGAAGGGAAAATTTTCTTTACAAAATTTAAAATTTTTTTCTACATTTAGAATAAAAACATAATTATTTCATCAAATTTTATAGAAATTTTGTTCACAAAATAGTCCTATGCTTAAACAGCATTTTTAACTAAATTTCTCTTGAAAAAAATCATTGATTTGCAGCGCACCCGAATTTACAATTAAATTCTAATAGATATTTACCCAATACATAACACACTCTATAACAAAAAAATCGGCGCACCAAGAAGCAATCATCCGATTGCTTCTTGGTGCCAGATTACATTGGTGCATGGTTCGATCAGGCTGGAATGATGCCGACTGGGGACATATAGTCCTTAGCGACGAATCCCGCTTCCAACTGTGTTCTGACGATCATCGAAGACGTGTTTGGAGATTCACAGGACAGAGGGTGGATCCTGCCTTCACTATTGCACGCCACACCGACCCTCAACAAGGCATTATGGTCCGGGGTGCCATTTCCTTTGACAGCCGGACCCCTTTGGTCGTCATTAGAGGTACACTTACTGCACAGCGGTACGTCGACGACATCCTAAGACCTGTTTTGCTACCGTTCCTTTTGCAGCG